ACTGAGAATCTAGGGCTACAGGGTAAGGTATGTAACTTATTTTTAAAGGATTCAGAAAAACTATGTGGATGTATGATATGTATATATACATATATGTGTATACGTGTGTGTCTATGGAGATATATAGATATGGAGAGGGGAAATAAACAATAAAGCAAACGGGACTAATAGGAGAATCTAAAAGTATAAGAAGTATTCTCTGTTCTGTTTCTATTTTTGCAACTTTATTAAAGTTTGGAGTTATTTCCAAGTGAAATAAATGCAAGTAACACTGGCCAAGTTCGCATCCCTGGGCCTGGCTACAGAAGGTACATGGCAAACCCTCTGATTCTCACCCCTTCTTTCTTGCCCAGTGTGGAGACGGTGAATGACGGACAGTTTCACAGCGTGGAGCTGGTGATGCTAAATCAGACCCTGAACTTGGTGGTGGATAAAGGAGCCCCCAAGAGCCTGGGAAAGCTCCAGAAGCAGCCAGCAGTAGGCATCAACAGCCCCCTCTACCTCGGAGGTAAGGCTCTTCTCCCCTCCCATCCCCACCACCTCCCACCCAGGCCCACTGGCTGGGGTCCCCCTGCTCAGCATCTGCTGCCAAAGCAAATCAGGGAAGACTTCCTGGAGGAAGTGACAAGTAAGCTGATCCCTAAAGGGTACACAGTCAGATCATAGGAGAAGAGGAAAGGAGAGAAGACAAGGCTCCTTCTGGGAAGCACAAGTGGTTCAGGAATGATGATAGGAAGAGGCAAAGATGGAATGGGGAGGGAAGAGATGGAGACAGAGTCCAGGCCCGACTCTCTGCAGAGGTCCCCTTCCCTCTGCTCTGCCACCATGTCAGATACCATGAGGCCCAGGTGATGCATGTAGAACAAGTTTGAGATTAAGGTCATACAAAGGCCAAAAAGAGAAGTAGCCACCTGTCTGGCAGAGCCTGGACCTGAAGTGCAGCCTAGGACCTGTAGTTGTCAACAGGTTATATGCAAAGAAAAAAAAATGTCACTAGAGCACCTTGGTCAGGACAGAGATTCCCGAGGCTTCCCTGCCAAGGAGTCCCCCTGGAGGGGCCCAGGAATCTGTATTAACATCCAGTCCAGGTGCCAGGCGTCCAGGGAAAGCCCTCAGTCAATAGCAGTCCCAGAAAGGACACAGTTTGTCCCCCGTGAAGATCCCCAAAGTTCCACAGATCAAGGCTGCTCACCCAAACCCCTTCCCTCCCAAACTCCAGCTCTCCAGTCCGGTGCTGTGCAGGGTTAGGACAAGGGGTGGGGATGGGGGGGACCTAGCGGGGACAGCAGAGGAATGGGAGGCGCCATCCATTCCCTGCCTAGAGCGGCAGGCCTCCTCCATCCAGCTAGTGTGGCCCTGTAACCAGCCAGCTCTTCTCTTTTTTTCTAGATAAGTCCAAAATAGAGATTTTTTTATGGGAAATTTTCTAAATGTAAAAGGTTGGCAACAAAGTCACATTTTTTAAAAAGTCAAGGTGTAGGACAAAGGACACAAGTACTTGTATGGACAAGGTCCCAGATTTGGGGTCCATTCCCTGCATCTGAACAGCAGAGGCCCAGAGCTGTGAGCACTTAACTGAGCGTGTAGAGATCTCCTCCTGGCTCTGAGGGGAGGTCTGGGCTGGTGGGCAGGGGAGGGCCTTCAGGTGGCTGTGCTGGCGCCTCTCCCCCAGGCATCCCCACCTCTACGGGCCTCTCGGCCCTGCGCCAGGGCACAGACCGGCCGCTGGGTGGCTTCCACGGCTGCATCCATGAGGTGCGCATCAATAACGAGCTGCAAGACTTCAAGGCCCTCCCACCGCAGTCCCTGGGGGTCTCACCAGGCTGCAAGTCCTGCACCGTGTGCAAGCACGGCCTGTGCCGCTCCCTGGAGAAGGACAGCGTGGTGTGTGAGTGCCACCCGGGCTGGACCGGCCCGCTGTGCGACCAGGAAGCCCGGGACCCCTGCCTGGGCCACAGGTCAGTGTCCCGAGTGCCTAGACTCTCCCTGCATGGATTCTGTCGCTGCTCCGACCCCTTCCCCACCCAAGAAGTGGCACTGATCAAAGCTGGGGGGATTGTGGTCAGACTGTACACAGGACCTGTGTAAGTGTGACTGTTTGAGGTCAGGAACTTACACAGCCAAACAGCAGGTCCCACTTAGAGACCTCAGTGTGTGAGGGCCTCGCTGAGAACACCTGTCTCTGTCAAGTGACCTTTAGAGCCTGTCCAGAGCCACAGCACGCACCTACATGACTCTGGGCAGATGCACCCCAATGGGCATTTGGCTGGGCAAGTGGAATACAGGTGAATTTCAGCCTCAGCTTCTCCGTCTAGGAGATGTGGATGAGACGATCTTCTGCATAGAAGCAGCAGAGGTCAGGTGATTGTAGAAAATAAGGATGCCAGGTGTAAAGTACTTATCCCAATGCCTGGCACCGTTGATGGTGGTAACAGTGTCATTGCTATCAGTTAAGATAGAGCAATTAAAGTGTTGAGAGAACATTCAGCTGTGTCTGAGCTATGACCTGCCACTCGGATATGTGAGTTCTACTGCCTGGAAAACAGCCAGCAGTGGAGTTTGGGTGATGTGAGCCTCCAGCTGTGGCAGAGTAAGAAAAGACAGATGCTCAGCCGCTGGCCTAGCAGAGGACAGACGGTGGGATGGAGAAGACCGAAGGTTCCACAGCTCTGGACCCCCTGGCGGGAGCCTGGTCCCTGGCTGAGCTGGACAGAGAAAGCCTCCAGTAGCACTGTCTCTGCCCCTTCTCATTCTATCCTCTGCCAACAGCTGCAACCACGGGAAGTGTGTAGCAACCGGGACCTCGTACGTGTGCAAGTGTGCCGAGGGTTACAGGGGGGCCACGTGTGATCACAAGAACAACTCAACCAACGCCTGCTCGACCTTCAAGTGTCACCAGGGGCAGTGCCACATCTCAGATCGAGGGGAGCCCTACTGCCTGTGCCAGCCGGGCTTTAGTGGGGAGCACTGCGAGCAAGGTGAGTCCACCGTGCACACAGGAGGGGGGGCCTGCAGAGGAGGCAGGGGTCAGAACTGGACTCCAGATCCCGACTGAAGTTGCAAGGCCGCATGACCTTTGTAAGCTGCTTTCTGGAAAAGCCTCTGTTCCTCCCTTTTGAAAATGGTAGCAATACCCTACATTGCTGCAGCGGTTATCCATTGCTGTGTAACAAAGTAGCTCCCCACCACAGCACGTCAAACCCTCCTTACTCTCTTCCCCTCCCCTTAGTGTCCCCCAGTCCCTGTAATGCTTTTATTTTTTAATGTTTATTTTTGAGAGACAGAATGCAAGGGGAGGAGGGGCAGAGAGAGAGGGAGACACAGAAGCAGGCTCTAAGCAAGCGGTCAGCACAGAGCCTGACAGGGACTCGGACTCACAAACCGTGAGATTATGGCCTGAGCCAAAGTCAGAAGCTTAACTGACTGAGGCACCCAGGCGCCCCTGTAGTTTGCTAATTTTGAAGTAAACTCAAAAACAGTAAAACTAGAACCCAAACCTCCCTCCCCTTGGAGGGCATGGAAACGGAGAAGTCTTCCTCCTGCCGCTGGTGTCCTTGGCGGACCCCCCTGTCTAAGAGACTCTTCCACACTTGTAGCTAGTTGAAATACTATTCTCAACCAAAACTGATACATTATATAATAAAAATTATAAAAAATATTTTGAAATAATATAACAGAAAAATCGCCAGAATATGACAAGCTCTCACATTCCCCTTCACCAGATTGCCCAATTAACATGTGGCCACATCTGCTCTCGCCCCAACCACATTACGCACTCATGCACTCGTACACTCATTATCTTGTAACAATCTCATAATTTAGAAGAATTATATCAAGCTTAACAAAATTCATTAAAATGCATAAAGCCCTTTCTCATTCACAGCCTCCTCTGAGGCTCATAATCTGTGAGGCATAGGAAGGACAGGGAAACAGATCACCATTTCCAGACAAGGCAACAGGCCCAGCGATAGCGAGGCTCTTGCTTACGGCTCCAAGCTCGGTACGGTCTTCCTCAGTGCCTGGCTCCAGCCCTCCTCCCAATTTCCTAGGGACAGTGTGTCCGAGGTGAAAATCCAAGCAGCTTATCCGGGTTAACTCCTGTCCTCATTCAGATCTCCCCTCCAGGGGCACTTCCCAGAGCCACGCCCCTGGGCTTTCTGTTCCTGCATAGGCTCCACCTCAGTTTATCATTACAAATACTAATTATATCCTCGCTGAAGTGAAGGGATGTAGACACTAAACCAGTGGGGACCCGGGGCAAACCAGAGACTTCCTGGTTTTCAGTGAAGCCAGAAATCCCAATATTTAGTTAAACTCCTGGGGTTTTTAATAGTGACATTTAATTCAGTTTCTAAGTCTAGGTGGCGCATACTCCGGTTTCTCTTCAGATCGCATAAATCTTTCGCCTTTTACTAAGTCTAGGTGGCACATCAAAACCAGGGCACAGGATTTAGCCCACACTCTACTACTTTGCCACATCTAGTTTGGGCTTGGACTTCCTTGAAGGAAAAGACGGGGCCTGTTTTTGTCACCAATAGATCCTCAGGGCTTAGTCATAAATCTAGTAGAGAGCCTGGCCCAGGACAGGCACTTTCCTGGGTGGGTTAACGGGGAGGGAGACGGAGGGATGAGTGAATAAGTTCAAATGGTCTTCACACCACAAGGGTTTCCAAACTGGCCCTGGCCTATTGTCTGTGCTACCAGTGCCCTTACCCCTTCTGCCCTCTGCAGAGAGCCTGTGCCTGGGGGAGGTGGTCCGAGAGGTGATCCGCCGCCAGAAAGGTTATGTGTCCTGCGCCACGGCCTCCAAAGTGCCGGTGATGGAGTGTCGTGGGGGCTGCGGGCCGCAGTGCTGCCGGCCCACCCGCAGCAAGCGGCGGAAATACGTCTTCCAGTGCACAGACGGCTCCTCATTCGTGGAAGAGGTGGAGAGACCCTTGGAGTGTGGCTGCCGCGCGTGTTCCTAAGGCCCTCCGCCCCCCCGCCCCCCACCTCTCAGACTCCAGCTTCGTGGGGCTGCGACAGCCACGTGGGACCCCCTCGAGGTGAAGTGGACCTGGAGAGGAAGCAGAAGAAGAGAATATTAAGTATATTGTAAAATAAACAAAAAATAGAACTTATTTTTATTATGGAAAGTGACTATTTTCATCTTTTATTATATAAATATATCACACCGTCTGAGTATATGTACCATATAGTGAGTTATTTTTACCAAGTCTTGTGTTGTGTATTTGTCGTGTTTTTATAAACAGCTGTTAAAAATTTTAAGAAAGAAAAAGACTAATAAAAATGTTTTAAAAACAAAAGGATAAGAATAAAGAAGTGATAGCCTGTCCAAGGAGGAGGAAGGAAGCTTTTACGTGATGGAATAGTATCATGTCAGCAGAAATACCAAGACCTGCTTACTGAGCTCAGGAAAAGGAATGATAAGAAGATAAGGAAGAGATTTTTCTTTGTTTCTTCTTATCTTTAATGACTGTTTTGTCTTTCCTAAAAGCACCCAGCATTTAAGTCTTGGTTGCCAAGGCCCATCCTTCCAGGAAAAGCTTCTGGACCCCTGCTGCCTCAGACTCAGTTACCGCCCCCACCTGCCCCAGGCCTTGCTCAGCGGGGTCTGAGCCCTCTCTTCCTCCTGGCCGGCCCTGGCTTCTGCCACAGGCCTCATCTGATCCTGTCTTGCCAAATTTTAAAACACCTCCTCTTTTCTTGACCCTCTCCAGGTGAGTCAAGGGAAGAAGGGGTTATGCAGTCTCCTCCGGCCCAAACACTGGCCCTTCCTTTGGAAAGTTCTACACCATCCTCTTCCCTCCAGTTGCCCGCAAATTCTCCATTAGAATGCAGTACCGGGAGAGCAGGTAACTAGGAGCCCAGCCTGCCCACAGCCCTGGTAGGAGTCCGATTCTGGAAAGTCCCGGGGGGGATCTTCCTATGGGATGGACAAGCCTCTGCCACCAAGTCCTTCAGACCCACCATCACATACATGACAAGTCCTTGCCCACCTGTGACACTTCCCAATGCATATCCGTACCTCACGTTATTTTACCCATAAGGACAAAGCCGTATGGCCCCCTTCCACAGACAAGGAAACCAAAGCCTCTCTCAAACTCTGTATCTTGTCTTAAGCCACATATCTGATAAGTAGAAGAGCCAGACTCAAAGTTCTAGATTCCTTCTCCAGAATGGTGTAAGCAGGAGAGATTCAGGCAGTTTAAGTTCTTCAGATGAGCCCTACCAGGAAAAGAAAGTTCTCTACTGCTACCTTTCCTGCTCACGTTCATTCCTTGTTCCGTTCCCCCAGTGTCCACAAAGGTTCTAAACAGAGTTCTAGGAGAGCAAAGGCATCCCACCTGATGGAGACTTACCCTGGTCTCTCTCCCCACTCAGTCTAGTGCGGACAGCTGCAGGTCTCAGCTCCCCATCTCACTCATCCCTCCTTTTCCCGGGAGCCTCCCTCACGGAAGTGTCAGGGAGGAGACTGTGGGCCTCAGAGGACCTTCCAGCATTAAGGGTCCCCAGAGGAGCCTAGCGGTTCTGTGAGGACCAACCATAGGCCAAAGTCTCTAAGAATCAGGAGGGAAAAAGAAAAGATGGAAGAGCACAAGGCAAGTGGCAAATAAGGAAGATGGAGGAAGAGAAAGAAGGCATGGGGACAGAAGGGAGAGAGGGAAAAATAAAATGGAGGAACTTACTTAAAAATATACATACTTATATTATGTTCCAGGTACTTAGTGTACCTTATGATGGATTCCTTTCAAATACTAATAGATTCACTTAGGACTTACTACATTATACATCAGATACCAATTTATATATTATGTATGTAAAATGATATTCATTTAATTCTCAAAACCCTGCAGAAAAGACTTTACTAACCCATTTTCCAGCTAGGTTGAGGCTGGAACAGAGATGTTCAGAGACTTGTACAAGGGCAGACACCTAATAAATTGTAGAGCCAGGATTTGTGTCCAGGTAGCCTAATGCCAGAACTTACTCCTCATGGGAAAGAAACATCGGCCTTTAAGAATCCTATCATCCAGGGCATAAACAATCATGGGACAACTGCTTTATTATAGGAGTTCCCTAATGGCAATATAAAGAAGGGAAGTGGCTGTCCAGAGTAGGAAATCTCCAATCCTGGGTCTTAAAGGATGAATAGGAGTTGGGAGGGGGCGGGCAGGGTATGGCCTGTTAAGAAGCAGTGAAACAGGAAAAGCCCCTGTATGTCTGGGGAACAGAGGTCCAGGGTGGCAGGAGGGTGGGGTGCATACTGGGGAGGAGTCACAGGGGAAAGCGTGAAGGCAGGGGTTCAGCCTCTGAGAGCCGTGTGTGGTGGGCTAGGACACAGGGACCCAGCAGGGGGTTTTGAGCAGGGGGAAAGCAAGACATGCTCTGTTTTAGGAAGAGAACTGGGGCAAAGTTGAGACAGGCGTGGAAGAGGAGACAGGGCTCGGCCACCCAGGACGGCTTGGGAGCTCCCAGTTGTTCACTTCAGTGTGTTGTGGCTAAACAATGCGGATTTCCACATGGGGCCCCAAAGTCTTTGTGGTAGCTCAAAATTTCTGTCCAGAGATCTACCCAACACCCCACCCCACCGCTCCCCTCCCCAGCCCACCCCACCCAGGCAGGTAAACCCTAGGCTTTTTTACCACCGACACTGCTAGCTGGCCTCTCTCCACATGACGTGAAGCCCACCAAGCCTGCCATCTTGAGAGCCTGACCGCAGGCTCACTGACTTTCTGGGAGGACTTACCAGGCTGCTGGCTTTCCCTCTGGCTCCCCCCAGTGAACCGAGGCCTGCCTCTGCCAATCCTGAATCCAGCAGCAGTCAGCCAACACAGCCAAGCAGGACCAGTTTCTTAATGTAGCTTGAGGGGGATTTTGAGCCTTCCCCTCCATTTTGGAAACCCTGATGTTACCAAATGACTAATGCAGGATCATTAAGAAAATTCTCCCCAAAAGGACGTTTATCTAACAAATAGAGATTAAAACTCATCTCAACAGCCGAATTCTAGAAACAAAGTCCCACAGGGCAAGAAAAGTTCAGTGAGGTAATTTGCATGCTTAAAGTTATGGTTCAATGTTTGTGTGTGGGTACGTGCACATGTGAAAAGAGGGCTTGGGCTCCGTTTCCCCCTGAGCAGGAATCAGGGAAAGGAGAAGGGAGAATCCCTTTGACTCAACCAAGAGCCCCTAAAATGGCTGATGAGATATATTTAAAAGTTCTTTGTAAAGTGTAAACTAAAAACCTTTAATGTAAGATGTTATTACTATCGTTGTTGCTATTATTGACATGCCAACGGGCTCCATGTAGAAGATGGCTTTGCCTTTTCAATTTCAGAAAGGAACCAGAGTCTGACACTTCAGAAAGAGGACAGGACAAGGAAGAGAGGGGCAAGGAAAGGGAAGGAGATTTCCTAGGGCCAGAGAGAGGGGGAAATCCCGCAGAATGACCCTTAGGAACCCAGGGATGGCCAGGATGGGGCTGGAGCTAACCTTGCCTTCCACCACATACAAAGCTACCATCAGATTGAGCCCTAAGGCCCAGCAGCCTCCCACTGACTTTGCTGGGAGAAGCCCCTCACGTAAATGGGCCTGCCCCTCAAAACTCACAGGGTCTCAGTATCAGAGCTGAAGGTGCCTGAGGGAATCCCTAAGGAGTGATAAACCGGAGAACCAGAGAAATGGAAGGTCTAAACCAGAGACCAAGGTCATCTAACAAATTAACAGCAGAAGCATGAAGAGACCGTGGTGTCCACCCAGGTGATCATTCTTCTTGCTGCTCCACCATGGGCATCCAGGAAGACTGAAATTTGCGAAAGACCCTGGGAGACCTTCTAGGTAGCCCAGAAAGTATCCCCCTCCCTTCCCTAACAGTGCACTCAGGTGGCTGGGAAGCTGGAGCATGGCCTGGTTTGGTGACACTTACCCATATGTTCCAGTCTGGATTAACGCCAAAGGAAATGCTTCGGGAAAGTTGGAGAGAGATGCCAGCTAGCCAGAACAAGCAAAGACAGAATTGGGCATTTGGCAAAGCTTATTTCTCTAACTCAACAATAGGTTCTAAGAGGAAAGAATTTTTTAATGTTTTTAAAAACAATGTTATAGTGCCACTTCACTGCTACGGGATAAATAATGTACATTTTTTTATTCAACAGACTGTCATATTCTGATGTCACTAAAATAAATGGATGAGTCACAGGAGAGCTTTCAGATGCTCTTGTGAATACCAGAAGTTCAGCTGTACTCCCTGGTGTGTGTTTTATTTTTACTCCTAACCTTCACTCCCTGGGGCAAAGATTACTGTAATTCATGGGGTTTGGGCAAGTCTGGTGTGGAGTTAGTGAAAACGATTGGTTTCTTGAAGCATGAAGTGGGGAAAAAGAGATCCAGAGTTCCCCAGAGACATGGGAGAGAAGGCCCAACACATGGCTTAAGGTCTGCAGGGCATGTGATTTATATGGTCACAGACTGACTGCCAAGGGTAATGGGGAAAGATGCCACTCTAGAGCACTTACTAAGATGTGGAGGAAGAGTTGTCCTGGGCACTCCAATGCCTAATTAAATCCCCTCCTGTATTCATTCCTTCCCAAGCATTTTCTGAACATCTACTATGTGCCCAGAACTGGTCTAGGCACTGAAGACTACATAAAAGATGATCAAGACAAAGTCCTCATTCTCCTGGAGCTTAACTGAGTGTCAATCAACAAATAAGTAAAGATAATATAATATTAAAAAGTAGAGATGGCATGATAGAATAGCTGGTGGGTACTTTCCACAGTGAAGTAAAGAAAAGCCTCTGTGAAGAGCTGGGACATGGGGGTGGCTGAAGTACCAAGAAATGGAAGGGGGAAGCCTGACCTGGCAGTGCTCACTAGATAATCTGCCCTCACCAGATAACCTACAGAGGGAGGCAGAGAGCATCTGAGGAGGCCAGAGGTGATAACATGAGCAAGAAAGCACTACGAGAGGACTTCCAGGGGTAAGGGAGGAGACAGAACTCACCCTTCATCTTCCCAGCCCTGGGACATCCTTGAAAGCCCATGGCCTTTCTAAATA